ATTCTTAAAAGATTACATTTGATCCACAAATATTGAGTATTTGATGAATCATCCATATTTATTTCAGTCCAATGTGGTGAAGTACTTCGACAAGAGGCCTCCACAGGAGCAAGCCAATGAGCTTTTCTTTGTTGTCTTCCAATGGCGAGATCCATTTATACAGCAAGTCAAAGATGTAAGTGTGCATATTATTAAATATTAAACCATTATTTACCAAGTCAGCATGTGTGATCCTGTTGTGGATGCGCTCTTCCCATATCAACGCGCTGAAACACAGCAACTAAACCCAAATAATTCACAACGTTTTATTATAATAATGTTCTCATTAGAATGTTATATACACAACATTCCCAATCATAGTTATTAATGTTGTGCACTGCTTTGAGTTTATCACTGGTAAACTGAAGCGCTCTTTTAACTTAAGCAAACGCATTCTATATGAGATAAATCAGATATACATCAAATAAACAATATTACAACGTACAATTGCACAAAAGGCTGCAAACGAACAGCGTGCATCTGAAGTGTCTGAAGGAAATAATGCATTATTTATCGGCTTTAAGATATCGGCCAAATTTTCTTATTGGGCCGATACCGATAACAGAAAAAATGAGCATTTATCGGCCGATACCGATATGGTGGCCGATATATCGTGCATCCCTATTATTATTTTTTTAAATCAAGTGAATTGTATTTGTATTATGCTTTTCACAATACACACATGCTTTATGTAAATTAACAATGCAATTTTTTTTATAACTCTCTTTCTGTTCAGCTTCTGTTTCTGACATTTTACATATGTTTGCACTATGTACAGCAACAGGAAAAAATTGCTTTTATTCGCCTTGTGTAGACAGCTTTTGACTGCACTGCTGTTCCGTTGGTTATTTTATGTAAACATGCATTAAACTGACGTGTTTGACCGCTGCATCTCGCAGCACAGCGTTCTAACAAAGGTCAAATTTTTAAATGCAAAACATGTTCTGGATGAACAGTCCCTTACACCGTGTAGAAACTGTGTTTGTGCAGTGGGTTTTTCCAAACTCTGTTTGTGAATTGAAGATGCTAGGACACGACCCTGCAGTGGTTTTGTGGTTGGCTTGTGTGCTGCACTCTCAGCAGGCTGCATTTAGCTTCTTGACTTGAGTGCTGTCCCTAGTTTGTGTCCTCTGGCATCCTGCAGTGGAGCCAGAGCCACTGACCCTCTTTCCTTCCTTATGGAGTTTGTCCAACCTCATGCATTGCTGATACACCACAATCTAATGTAAGATTTGGCAAACCCTTATACGAGCCTCCGCAATATGAAATAAACAAGAAAGGTCAGTCATCTTTGAGCTATGTGCATGGCTGAGTCTGAATGCTGTCGCTGGCTACATTTGAACAGGTGGTGCATATTCAGTCAATGACAGAGTACTGAAGAGTAACTGCCAAATGACTTCAGCGTTTCAAGATTACAGATTTCTGACTGTTTAAGAAGATCTGTACATAAAGATGTCATTAATTATTTGTTTTTGATTCATTGTTAATTTAATCAAATAGTTTAATTTTTATTGAATTTTTTTAGCTTATATATTTTTAACACACATATACTGTGTATATATATATATATATATATATATAATATAATATATATGATATAATTTATTAATCCAATATTTTACGTATTTATGTATTCTTTTATAAATCCAAATCCAATTTTGTTATTTCAAAGCTATTTTTGTTTTGATGTATGCTGACCATTTAAATGTGTGTGAATGTATGTGTGTGTGTGTGTGTGTGTGTGTAGGGATGAAATGAGAAATCAGGACAATTATTCTTGGCAAGTGATTTTAATTATTTGACACTTTTAAAATGCTACCTGATGTGATTGTTATTTGTCTCTTTATGCAGAACCCTGTTTATTTGTGGTGGCCTGAGATACAATAATCATTCAACATGGTTAAAGAACAGAAATGCATTCTTTGTGAAACGGTCTACAGCTCCAAACAGGTAAACCTGACGATTAAATGCAAATCACTGTGCTCTCCCAGCTGAATTAGGTGCCTATATTTCTTCAAACATTACCAAGATCTGCAAGTCTGCACTCTTTAAATCTTTTATTGGGATCAAAGCAGGCGATTTAAGTATACATCATCTCCCATTTCTGCTAGAATGTGACAATTTGCCCTGAGTCCTTGTGTGACAAACTGTAATTTAGGCTACTTGTTCATGTTGGCAATTGTCTTGATCTATGCACATTTGCTCTTCTTGTTTTGAGACTTTTGGTTGCAAAAAACCTTTGTCTTGCATATAAGAATAAATTCCTATTTAGAGTTATTTATTGAAATTACTGTCATTTCACAATGCTATATTTTAATGGTATCTTTTTCATTTTTAGGAGATGGAAGAGCACATGAGAAGTATGCTGCACCACCGGGAGCTGGAGAATCTGAAAGGACGGTAAGAACCCATGTTACACACCAATGTTACCAACTATCATGTAATCCACCTTTTTGTCAGTAAATGGTCACTTGACAGGCAGGTAAACAAACATTTAATCTTTTTTTAATAAGCGTTTCATTTTTGGTTTTCTTATATTTTTTCTGATTAATTATTAGCTTTTCATCAACTCACAAACACAAGTTTGGGAAACTCATCTTTACACTATCAATACAATAATCTAAAATTCAGAGAACAGAGCCTTCTTCAAATATCAGCGTTATTTGAGACATTTGTACGCTAATTATAAAAGGTGAAGAACCACCATCATGCCTTACTTGCCAAACAAAAAATGTGAAGCATATTTGATTAGATTGTACTGTTTTTAATGTAAATAGACAACGGTTTTATTCAGAGGTGTGTTTTAACTGATTTATTTAAAAATGTATCACCTGAATGTATTTTAGAATTTTTGTCTAGTGTAGATTTGAAATGTCTTTTTTAACTTTTGGTTAATTGTATACCTTGTGAAATTTATTCTGAGATCGCCATGAAAATAGCCTTGATGCTGGCATGGCAATAAAAAGTAAATAAGTCAATAGATAAATATACGCTTAAGGCAACATTTTAGATTCAAAATTTAGAAATCCACCCCAGAATTCTGTTTAAATAATTTTAAAAACATCCTTATGCAGCAAACGTAAACTAGGAAGTTCATGGAAAATATTTTAGAAAATTCTTTAGTGGAATATTTCTGGTCAAAGATGAAAAACGTGTATTGTCAGGCACGTGCCTCATTTGGTCAGTGGATAGATAAGCCGAGGCAGCTGCCTTAACCCAAGAGTGTATATATATAGGGACATTGGAAACAACTGGCAAGGCCGACAAATGACAACTGCCTCATGTGACAATTATGTATATCTCTGGAATGTGAAAAGTGAGAATGACATTCTCAAATGGGGAGGGTATTGAAATCTAAAGTCCAAACACACATAACCATGATTATGAGAGGTTTGTCATATTTTAGCCAATTGCATCTTGGTAATAATGCTGCTTATAAGATCAGTGTAGCTTAATGTTTAGACTGAGAATTAACCAGAGCACTAATTTAGGGCCGTAAATAATCATTTGTTTAATCAAATCATAACACAGTCATAGTACTCAATCGCCCAAAAACTTTAGAATTTTAAATTAGAAATAACAACTTAACAGACTGCTGACTGCAAAATGGCAAGCTGCCATGACACCATTTTTCGAGGGATAGACCATCTGCCAACAGCAAGTATCTATCAGCTCACAAGTTTGGCACTAAAGACAGCAACTATGGCAGGGAGGGGTTTTCAAGTCGGCGACTGTAAGCAGCTCGCATTACAGCTAGCCAAAGAGTCCCACCCTTGCTGCAGCCCTAAAGAGCAGAGGAAGGTGGAGACAGAGGGTGGGGGGAATACGATTTCACACACCAAAATCCAACAGCTCTCCCAACCCTCGTCTCAGAGCACAGCGGACTCCATCATGACAGCGTGCTAAGGCTCAGCAGCTGCTGAGAGGGTGGTTACCCCTCTGAGCTCAAGATCTCCCAGCGCCTTCTGTTCTTGCCTGTTCATTTGAAACCATTTGTAAAGCCCCTGAAGATGAACCACAAGATCGGGAAGATTGCATTTTTTTCTTTTCCTTTTTAGTAACTAGTTGGATTTTATTTTATGATTGAAGTCGGTTTGCCTCCTGATCTCTTTAAAATACCTTAACTCATTAGACAGCCACTCAGAAGCAGTAGCTATGCCCGAGGGAAGCATTGAGCAGCCTATGTTACCCTGCGTCCCCAGGGACTGTGGACACGAGTGTCGGGTCTGCGGCGTATCGGAGGTCAGCCTGACCGACTATGCGACCATTACAGCTAGCCAAAGAGTCCCACCCTTGCTGCAGCCCTAAAGAGCAGAGGAAGGTGGAGACAGAGGGTGGGGGGAATACGATTTCACACACCAAAATCCAACAGCTCTCCCAACCCTCGTCTCAGAGCACAGCGGACTCCATCATGACAGCGTGCTAAGGCTCAGCAGCTGCTGAGAGGGTGGTTACCCCTCTGAGCTCAAGATCTCCCAGCGCCTTCTGTTCTTGCCTGTTCATTTGAAACCATTTGTAAAGCCCCTGAAGATGAACCACAAGATCAGGAAGATTGCGTTTTTCTTTTCCTTTTTAGTAACTAGTTGGATTTTATTTTATGATTGAAGTCAGTTTGCCTCCTGATCTCTTTAAAATACCTTAACTCATTAGACAGCCACTCAGAAGCAGTAGCTATGCCCGAGGGAAGCATTGAGCAGCCTATGTTACCCTGCGTCCCCAGGGACTGTGGACACGAGTGTCGGGTCTGCGGCGTATCGGAGGTCAGCCTGACCGACTATGCGAGTCACATCTCCAGCCCTTTACATAAACAGCATGTTGAGGATCAGAAGAACCGGCCCACAAAAGAAGACCAAGATGAAGAGTACTTTGACAAGGACATTGTGCAGCTTATTGAGAAACGCAAGGAAATGATCAGGTGAGTCTTTGCTTTGCTTGCTGAATTGTATAGCATTGATAGTGGTTGCAGACCTGTTATCTAGTGATTAATTGCATGGTAGTGTTTAAGTCTTTGTCACTGAAGTGTTTTCTTAGTGTTTTAATCATCTGTTGGTTACCACAACACCTGCAGTTCTATATTAAACTATTCTGCATACAGTTCTGACACTGGAGTCTGGTTTCATGCGAGGCCAAAAACGGCCATGACTGCAACACTTGCACTCTCACACTCTTGGATGCATACCACACCGTGCCTTTCCAGCTCAACCCTTAAACAGTATGGGCACTATGTCTTTAAATAGTCTGACCTCACCAGCTATTTTTATGCACCATGCAAGTGAAGTGTTAGACATTAATTAATGACAGAAATCCATTGCTGTTTTGCCCTAATACATAATACAAGTACCAAATACCTAATACAAATAATACAAGTAATAAATCAAGTAATACATTATTTATATTTTATCTTTATTTTGGACATTGTTTTCCCTTGATCTCACACAGGATAAAAAATTTGTGTGGTCAGCCATGAAACATTTAGATATCTCAAGATCTTTGTTGTGTGAAGATTACAAAAAAAAAAATCATGATCACTGCAAATTCAAGACAGAAATAAGAATAAATGAATACAAATATCAGTAGTTCCTCGTTAATAAAAGTTTGATCCAATAAAATTAGTTTGATATTGAAACAGTGAAAGTTACACAGATTTCTTTGTGTGGTATATTCATTCAGGGATGAATAAGCAAACTTTGAGTCTGCAATTTGGTTTCTTCTGAGCACAATAAATGAAGGTTCTGAATGTGGGTAATTTCTGAGTTTTGGTGGGGAATGCCACAAAGAGTAGAATTTTCACAAACAGTGGGTCATCAACAGCTGTCATTCTGTCACATGCCAAACTGTATCCCATCACCGGAAGACAGGGAAGGCAGTATTCTTAGCAGTTTTAATGATCTTATTTCCAACTGTAAAGAAACTTGCTTTTGTGTTTCTTCCCATGTTTGAATTTACATGCATTGTTGTTTAACCTATCCATAATGCTGTTCACTTGTCCTTATTGTTGAGTGTGTCAATACAATAAAATAAATCATTGTATGTCTCCGTTCTATGCTGAACTCTATTAGGAACGAAGAGGCTTCTGCAAAGCAGGCTAAAGAAGAGCAGGAGCAATGCAGGAGGTGGCAGGAACTTAAGACTCAGTGGCTTGGGCCAAGGCCTTTGATGTACCAGCAGTGTGGGCCTTGGGACCGGCCCTATCCCAACTTTCCCCAGATGCCCAAAAGGGGCAGAGGCTCCAATTGGCAGAATTTGAGATTTTCATCCCCTGAACGTGGCAAAAGTTTCAGCCGAGATGTTAGGTGTGCCACATGGCATGCTGAAGGACCGCCTGACTTGCAGAAATGGGAATCTGTTGGACGTCAGGGAGGGAGTTTGCACAACCAAGGAAATTTCTGGGGTGGTAGACAAGGTGGCTATGGAGTCTGCCCTCCACAGCTGAGAAAGCAATTTCCCTGGAACAACAATCAGTTTAATGCCCCTTGGAATAGACAATATATGTCACCACCTAGGTTCTTTAAACAGTCTGCCAAAGAGACTCAGAAGACACCCAGCAGCTCTGAGAATCGGACACAGGGTGAACAGAGTATAGAAGAATCTGGTGGAGAGCATGATCCTAACAAAGGTAAGGGTCAGAAGTCAGAGAAGGCTCACCGATGGGCACCATATCCACCAGCTAAACTTGGGGATCCTTCATCTCAGACTAACCCTCAGCCAATGTTAGATAAGTCAGATGTGGGATCTCCTCAAACCTCTAAGGCACAAAGTTTCAAAGAGGGCAGCCAGGACATGGAGAGGATATCCCTGGCAGACCAAAGAAATTGGCATTATAAACCCACAGAACCTAAAGAGAGTGATTGCAGGGAGCAGAAGAGTTCCTTCAAGAACTTTGGCAATACTAGCATGGATAGTTTTACCTACCCCTCCACCTCCACCACTAGGAAAACAGAGAAGCCCAGCAAGCTAGCTGAAGATGGTTCAAAAATGAATCTCAGACAAACAGGAAGTCAAGACTTTGTCAGCTCCAAAGGTTTTAAGCATTCCCATTCAAGCTCTGAATTCGCACAACATGCCACTTCCAATGCAGAGCAAGATAGTCTGCTGTCAGAGATGCTGCGAAAAGCTAAAGAGACATTGCTTAATAGAAATAACCCTAGTGACGTGTCTGGTACAGAGAGCTGCCTCAAAGCATCAAAGGCTGTGCCTCAGATGAAAGAGCAAGTAGACAGTTCAGAATTAATCAAGACTCAAAAATTACAAGAGAGTAAGAAGAAACTGAACAAGAACAAAGGTCAAGAAAGGTTGGGTTTTGTCAGACGTTTTAGCAATGACCGAGAGCAGTTAACCAGTACTGAGACCTCAGTACAGTTTGGCAATGTGCGCAATGACTCTAGGCCGTCTCTGCAGTCCTTACAAGTTAGTACCTCCACTAAGGACCATGAAGATGAGGAGGAGTGTGGTGAAATGGAAGAAAATCCTCACTTAGCAGTACAAGATCAAGTCATGGACACACTGGATGAAGGTTTGTGCTCCGCTGGTGAGGGGTCCCAACAAACTACAGGTGGCTCTGTGCCCTCTCTAAGCAAGCTTGCATTACCTGCATGTCTCCAAAGGGATCTGAACCGTCATATGGGCCCCAAAGGCAAAGCAGCATCCCATGAACCCAACTTGAATATTGCCAGACGTATTAGAAATGTGAGTGGCACACGAAAAAATGAGACTGAGAAGGATGCAGGACTTAAACCCACCTTGCGACAGCTGATTAGCTCCTCTGGCTCAAGGCGAAATGTGAACTGGGACCAGGTCTACCAGGAAGTCAACCGGAAGAAGCAGGGCAAGGGCTTACCAAGGTACTGCATGAGAATTGCTTCATTTTCTGTTTACTCGCGTAAAATTGTTACTTCCTTCCTTCATACCTTAATTTGTCCTGAATCTTTTCAGATTTGGTATAGAAATGGTGTCCTGTGAACCTGTGGGTCCGAACCAAATGGATGAAGATGAAGTACCTCTTTCTGAGGGCTTTCATTGGGACTCTCTGTTTGAATTTAGTCGAGTGCCTTCCCGCAAGCGAAGCTTGTCTGAAAGCAATGTGGTCAAAGAAAGCCCTGCTGGGACCATCTCCCTCCCCAAAGCTGTAGACCCAGTGAGGGACTCTCCTGCCTGTGGCCCCTCACAGCCACAGAGGAGAGAGGAGCTGCAGTCCACAGGTTCTCTGGAGAATCAAGGTTTGAAAGGGCCTTCTAAGGGCCCTGAGGAAGTTGAAGAAGTCGGTGGTTGTATATCAGAGACTGAACTGATTGACACGCAAGGAGCTGGGAAGAAACGCAGAGCTCCTGGGGTAAGCTTCATACTTTCTACTATGGTTTATGCTTGACATACTCAGAAACACAGTATATCTAATTCTAATATAGTTAGCAACCTGCTACATTACATAGCTGCCTTCAAAAGCAGCATCCAGTGTAATTTTTTCAAATGTTCTACATCAGAGGTGCGCAATCCTGTTCCTGGAAATCTACCTTCCTGCAAAGTTCAGCTCCAAACCTGATCACATGCAACTGAACCATCTAATTAAGATCTTCAGCAACACTCGATAATTAGAAACAGGTGTGTTTGATCAGGGTTGGAACTGAACACTTGCAGGTAGGTAAATCTCCAGTAACAGAATTGGGCACCTCTGTTCTACATAAACATTAATGCAAGAAGAACGTAAATGAAATATAATACTTGCCATTACCTAATTGTTGGATCTTTCCACTAGGATGTAGTGTCTCCAGAGATTCCTAATGAAGATAGGAAAAACAAGAGGCAAAAAATTAAGGCTAAGAAAGGTAAGGAAACTATTTTATGCAATGTTTTGTGAACCAAAACAATGCAGTGTCTTTATTTGAGTGTTTTAATGTTTCTATGTATTGTGTTTTGCAGAACGCTCGCAAGTGGATCAGTTGCTGGCTGTGTCTCTACGTGAGGAGGAGCTTAACATCTCTCTTCAGGCTGTGGACAACAGTCTTATTCAGGCACGTGCTGCACTGCAAGCTGCCTATTTAGAAGTACAGCGCTTGCTTATGGTCAAACAACAGGTAAGACGGTAGCATTAACAGAACTGTATTCAGTTGTTTTCAGCTCTCACTGGGCTGCCACTTGATTTTACAGTTTTTTTTATTAACGATTTTACAGGCGACGAATGAGATGAACTCTTTGAGAACCAAGCGCATTGAAATACTTCAAGGAATGCAAGGTACAAAAATCAGAAAGCAGGAGTCATGTAATCATATTTATTAACTTTATATATCTAATGTAAATAAGGATAGTCAGATTAATACCACATATCCTTTCATACTGTACAAATTACCTGTAATGTTGGTTTATGGCCAGTTTGTAGTATGCATCAGGTATGACAGTAAGCGCCTTATAAAATCTTATTTGTTACTGATAATGAAATAAATATGGACATCAAAATTCTTTTTCAGGTGAATTTGAATCAAAAGAAAGAGAGAGGAACAGTAAGGAGATCTTAACGTCTTCATCAACCCAGATTTCTCAGATCACCAATCCTGTTCCCTCAACAACAGCTGCTCACTCATCCTCTTCAATGTCCTCACTGCCTGTTACCATAAAGCAGGAGCCCATCTCTCAATGTAACCCCATTCCTGAGCCTAACCTTGTCAAAAGCCCCCTCTCAGCACCTCAAAATACCGCACCTGTCCAAACTGTGTTTGCAGCTTGTCAAATAGGTAGGTTCCAATCACTAAATTGCAGCTTAGAGGTTGCTATTTGTAGCAGTACTGAATTATAGAATGTTGATTTTTCGTCTTAAACAGATGGTACCTTCAACACTAAGATAAAGGCTTCACAAGACGCCACAAGCATGGCTTTGACAGCAGCTTCCTCAGTTCACAGATTACAGTTGTCACCTGTCAAAGAAATTCATCGAAATTTGAGCTCTCAAGAGGGGTTAGCCAACCCATCTTCCTCATTTATGTCTGCGACCCTCTCTCCTAAGCCACTGTCTCCCTCTAACCCCCTAGAAACTAATCCAGTTAAGCGTGTTCGAAAGCTAAAGAAGAGAAAGTGTCTTAATAAAGCAAAGTTGAACGAGCAGCCTGAAATCAGCGAATCTGAGCTTGACGCAGAGCTGCCTGCTTCTCGACCTACCCGCAAGTGTCGACCTCATCGGGGATCCAGCAGCACCTACGTCTCACCCTCCACACCAGAAGAGAAAGATAAAAATGAAGAGATGGTGGTGACCGATGCTTCAAAGGCACAACCACAGGGAACCAAGCTAGCAACACCGCCAGTGAATGAAGATCACTCTAATTCTTCTGAACTGGAGATGGTGGAGCTTCCCCCACTTGATATTGATATTGTCAATCTAGATTCTTCAGACCCAGATGAGAGGCCTGAAAAGAAGGCCAAGGAGTCAGCCACTGCATACTCAACAGACCATGCTGTTACAGACCCTCAAAATCTTGCCTGCAATGAAGTCACCTCCACTAGTGAAATTGATACTAGCAGTATAGTCAAGACTTGTGAAAGGTAAATCTCATGGTTTGAACTAGGATTTTCTAAATGATTATTCTTAATATCTTAGATTAGGGGTGTCCATTCCTGAGCCTGGAGGGCCTGCATAGTTTAGCTCCAACCTGACACAGCACACTACCCTAGAGATTTCTCACAATCCTAAAGACCTTGATTAGCTGGTTCTGGTGTGTAAGTTAGGACCGGATCTAAACTCTGCGGGAAAGTGGCCCTCCAGGAGCAGGATTGGATACCCCTTTCTTACAGCAATGATCGTAATCTTGTGAAGTAAAAAGGGATCCTTTGAAATTTGACTTCTATATGAATTCTTCAAATCTGGACCAAACTGAGTTTATTCTACGTCTGCAGTGTAGTGCTGGGCAATATGCTCCATAGTCATATCGTCCTGTCGTTAGGCTGTGAGATCGCCGATCAGGGCTGTAGCTGGAGTTTGTGGGTGCAGGCTGTACCCGTGGGCCCTGTTTGAAATCGTGTAAATAGCACAAATAAATAAATAGAGCAAAGATACAAATTAAACAATGTTTAACTTTTTTCAGGTTTGTAGATGTCCAGGTACAGAATCCAAATAATCAAATGTAAAATATCATTGCATAGTCTTCACTGTATAAATTAAATACAGATTAATTCTTATTAGAACTACAAAGTAATTCAGTAAAGAGCAGCAAGTGATTTTCTCTCTTTTAATTTCTTAGATTAACATTAAAGGGGTCATATGATGTTGCTAAAAAGAACATTCTTTTGTGTATTTGGTGTAATGAAATGTGTTTATGTGGTTTAAGGTTCAAAAAAACATTATTTTCCACATACTGTACATTATTGTTTCTCCTCTATGCCCCGCCTTTCTGAAACGCGTCAATTTTTACAAAGCTCATCTGTCTGAAAAGCGAGGTGTGCTCTGGCCAGCTATCCAGTGCGTGCTTGAATACTTCAAGCATGTGACGGAAATGTTACGCCCCTTACCATACTGTGATGCCCTGTCCGGCCGGAGCGAAGAGACAAAAACATTAAAAAACCCATTATAAACGAGGCATTTGTTGCATCCAGTGGGGACATAATTACGGATTATAATGACTTATACTGTCTTTTTACGTGTTGCGTTGTGCCGCGTAAACCTAAAACCATGTCTGCATTTGTGATCTGAGAAATGACGAACAACAAGCGCTACTCTACACTGCTCAAAACTCGCATTTGAATTAACAGTGGCAAATTGTTTAAATATAAAAAAACGTACTTACAGTCTATGAGTCAGAACAGCTGGCATTGTAGTCTACTCTACCAGGTTCAGGAAACAGTCCTCCATAAAATGCGCAGCACACATCTGAATATTTGGGTTGAAGTGTTCTGGAACAGTGTTGTAAATACAACTTGACCACTGATTTCTAGTTGTGTCCTCTTTTGGAAGGCCAAACAGAGTAGTTTCGCTTTCAAAACGAGAAACACAGCGTCACACACGGCGGGCTTGAGTGAGGAACGGCCGGCAGATTCGACAAAGGAGCATTGCGGCAACCACATGTGACGACCCCGGGCTGGACTCCGCTTCGTTCACAGTGAAAGCCGATCCGGCGATCCACAGCGCGAAGTTGATGTATTTCCTCAGCGACCAGCACAGATCATCTCTAGGCATGACGAAGCAGATAACGTCCTCTTTTGGAAGGCCAAACAAAGTAGTTTGGCTTTCACAACAAAACACACAGCATCTCCACGACATAGCGTTGGCGGCAACAACAATCCTACAGCGAGAATAAAAGTTACGCCTTCTTTCTTTGCGTGAACATTTGGGCGGGGTTATGCAAATCTTCCCACACAGTGATGTAGACATGTGGGGGCGTGTTAGAACGAGGTGTTTTAGGAGGGCGTGGACCGCTTTGCAACTTTAGGGATCTTATCTATTCACTAACAGCTTGTAACACTCCAAAGAGAAAGGAAAATTTTAAATTGCATCATATGACCCCTTTAAGGACACCGACCGACAGCAGCTAGTAAATTAGGCGCGGTCACTTTAAGAGACATTTTCAACTGTTTATGTTCACTTAAGACATAACCGACAGTATTTCGAGGATACTCACCAAGACGGGTATTTGCATGCTTTAAAATCTCTTGAATGTTTACTTTTGGCAAGGTTTAAAAACACGTGCAAATGAAGCTTCCGTGACAAAGTGCAGCAGTGGTCCGTCAACTGTCCTGAGCGTCTTTTTATGCTGGCCTTGGCCATTCGTGGGCCCCAGGGTACGGCTAAAAGCAGCCTTATGTAATCTATTAACTACACATTATATATTTTTAGTCAAGTAGCAAATGGATGTTCTAAAATATTTTTAATATGACTGAATTTGTATTTAACATGATTTAACGATTTTATAGAAACATTGTAACATTGTTACTAATTTGAATGCTTACATTTCCTCAATCATTCAAACAGCAGCTACAGTAAATGAGCAAAGAATATTTACATTATCAAAGAACATCATCAGTGACTTCAGTCTATCATGAGTTTATGCACTTTATGATACACTGTATGATAAATGGATCTCTTATACTTGCATCGCAGGTACATCTGCATGTGTAAAACAGTGTGATTAGAAAGTGATCTAGATCACAGTGAAAAATTCTAATCAAACTAGCTGTAGTTAGGACTAGAGTGTGGAAATACCTTAATAGTTTGTCAGAAAAGCAACATGGGATTTCCAAAAAGTGTTTTTAATCTGTAAGATCTCTGAGGTTAGTAACAATTCTGAAAGATGGAAGATATTGTTTAACAAGCATTTGGCTGTTGTGCTTTGAAGATGGTAGAAAACACAGCAGATTGAGTAAAGTGAATTGTCTGTTGGTGTCATGTGGAGGAGGCCTGCAACAGCGCCTGTACTCCGGATCAAGTGACCAGACCATCCGCTGTTACAACCTCAAGGTACTTTGATTCACACTGCTTTTGAAATCGTCCACCCAAAAATGAAAATGTCATCATTTATTCACATTGATGTTGTTTGCAACTTTTTTTTTCTTCAGTAGAACATGAAAGTTATCAGATACACAGGTTTCACTTTAGTAGAGTGATTCATATTGTCAAAAAGTACCATAAAATAGTTCATACAACTTTTTTTTTAATACTAGGTTTGTGTGAGGAACAACCTGATATTTAAAGGAATAATTCACTTAAAATGACATTTTTGTCACCAATTAATAGCTCCAGACTCAAATGACTTTTTATCATCAGTGGAACACCAAATGCAAACTTCCATATTTTCTTCCATGTACAGTATTTAAAGTGAGTTATTACGGACTGTCTAGCACCAAAAAGGACAAAAAGCACCATGAAAGCTGATGAAAAATATTAGAAGTAGAATTGATAAAAGTAGAGTATGTATTATCTAATAAATATTGAATGACTAAAATTAAAACGTAATAAATATTAAACGGCTTAAAAATGTAAGTAGTTATTTATTGAAAACCTGTCACCATTCACTTTGTGCATGAAAAAAAAAGAAGAAAAAATTGGACATCAGTGTTATTTTAGTATTATTTATATACTTTTGTAGTGTTTTTTTAATATTTTGAATTAAATTTTATTTTTAGATTTCTGGATTTAATTATAATTTTAGTTAGTTAAATAAATGTTATATTTTAGTTAAGTTTTTAGGGTTTTTGTTTTTAAGTATTTTGATTTAGCTTTAGTAATATTAGTACTTAAGAGAGTGAGAGAGGGGGTCACAGAGCACTGTGTCTGTCACGCGACTCTGTTCCCCTTTCGGGCTCTGTCTTTACATTTATTTTGAAAGATGGAAGCTCGCGATTATGGTAAGGGGCGTTACATTTCCGACGAGTGCTTGCAGTGTTCGGCCAATCACAATGCACTGGGTCAGCTGGCCAATCAGAGCAGACTGTGCTTGTCGGAAGGAGGGACTTTGTAGAAAACGAAGCGTTTGAGAGAGGCGGGGCATAGAGGATCTACAATAATGTACAGTATTTGAAAAATAATGTGTTTTTTGAACATAAAGCATGTCAACATATTCTGTTACACCAAATACAC